ACTGGGAATTGTGTATTGGTGAAAGTGCCATTTGAGAAGGGAAGGCGGTAGTTCATGTGGTCCCTTCAGGGGAAGAAAGGTTTATGATGCTGCCTCCAGTTTCAGCATCACCCACACAGCAGAAGTGCCTTCAGAGCACCCTTAGGCTAGAACAGAACTAAAACTAAGGAGACTGGCTACTCACCTTCTTGTTACTATAATACTTATTGACATTATTATTTTCATAATAAGCATTTTAAAAATATTCTGACAGCAGGTTGCTCTATTTTTAGTATTTAACATAAAGGCATGAAATGGCATGCCTTGCATAAGAAATAGCTTTAAAACAAAAAACAACTTAAACCCATTAAAGAAGAGAGGTTGGATTCTTTGCTCCCTGTTTTGCCCCTTATTATTCATCTAGAATCTCGTTCCTTGTTCCTTCACTGATATGAATTGTCTTACAAGAATAATATATTCACTGTGTCTTCAATGAACTAAAATTAAATGGTATTAAGTTAAAGCTGGTATTTTACAGGATTTGAGATTCATTTCTTCAGGGAAAACCCATCTTGTGTGGCTGTTGTACTGCGTAGTTTATTAAAATATTATTACTTTATATTATTAAAACTATTGACACGTTCATTCTGTATCATTTCAGAGAAAGGGTAGCATTTTTATAAGCCTAAACGTTGAACTTTGAATACTTAGATCTGTGTGTGTAAAAATACGCTACTTACCTACTTATCTCAATAGGGATATAAATGTCTTTGTGTAGGCATTCATCATAGAAAATGTTGGTGGCAGTAACTCAGAAGTTTTATTTTCTTTTGTGCTACAAAAAACATGACACATGCACGAGTGTATTAAGCATGTGATGGAAATGGCTTCTTTCTGCTGGTTCCACCACTTTGACAGAAGCCACCAGGAGCTTTAACTTTTAAGTAAGTCAGTTAGGAATGATACCAGACTGTTATTTCTGTCTCCAACTGCATAACCACTTGTGTGAAGCAGTGATTAAAGTGCATTTTTGATTTTCAACTGTCATTGTATTCATCACGATACTTTAGAAGGCATAAGCTCGTACTGAGCATCAAACTTGATTTTTATAATTATGTAGAAAAAATGAGTTTTCATGCCACCAGTTACGAATTATTTTCATGAAAAAAGCTGAGGACTTATTTAAACTCTGTGTCACAAATACTGAGGTTTGGAAAGGGGTTTCTAATGAGTGGAATATTGCCAATAGCTGAGCCCCTTTCTTGGAAGGAGTGAGGTATAAGGTTCCTCGCACAGCTTTGCATAACAAGGTAGTCATTCCAGTGAGGCATACTGATGACATCTAGTGCTTGAGTGGTTTGGTAATTTCAGGAGAATGCTGAATTGAAATCACTGCTTTAATTCATACTTCTTATGGGATTACAATATTTAATAGAACATCTGATATAATAGAAAATTATATTGCCATCCTAGTGTTTTTTTTCACTCCATCATTGAAATACATTTTGTTTTCCCAAGAATCTGCTCTTCCCTCTGAATATTCTTCTTTTCCAAGCCTGTCTGGATAATCCTTTGATTGATTTGCTGCTTCTTGCCCCAGCCATAACAATACTGTGTGAGGGTAACTACCAAGCACATGTTGTGGGATGGCACAATTTCTCAGGTGGCTGAGGAGAGTGATTAGTGAGTTCTGGGTCTCTTCTGCTGGGATGTTACACATGTGATTTTCTGAAAGGGATGAATATCTTCTTCTGGCAAAGCAGGGTTTTGGAAGTACCTTAGACTGAACACCCAAAATCAAGGAATGTGGTACTTCTAGTCACTTCTGGAAATGTTGTTTGCTTTCATTTCAATTTTGTATTTCAACAATTATTTTCCTTAGAAAGTTCATAAATAGCATTTTCACCAACCTTTCTAAATAGGAATCGCATGTTTTAAACAATAACAATTTGCATTTATAAAAAGATGTCTGATTTTTTTAACATACATGAATAATGAAATCTGGTAATAAATTTATGAGAGCACAGCCAATACCAGCTTTAGATCTAGGTAGGTCGATGTTCAGAAAGGTAATTTGTTCCATGTTAAAGTGTGTGATGTCAAAGAGAGATCTTTTATAAAGACTAGGAGTTTTTGTTAATTCTGTAAAGGCCATTACGAATAGTATGATGACAAAATTCTTAGTGTTTATTCATCCATTATATAAATCTTCAGAAACGGAGAGGTTATAACCTTCAGGTTTTGTACAAAGTAGCCTGCATTAAGTATCAATCTGCAAAGGTAGTTGAGTTCATCAGTAAAATGCAGTATCGCTGTGGGGACTCAGAGCCTATTACAGTCATCAGACTGGTCCCTTTCCTCGTTTTGAATCTTCCGGTGCAGGAGCATTAATTCACCGTTCTGTAAATTACTTTGGTGAATGTAGCCCATTTTTTTATTTGCAACATCCAAACATAGTCACATCCCCAAGTGCTTACTATTCAATATATTTTTGTGACTGTCTTGAGTTACTAATTCTGTAGATAAATGGGAAATTATTTGGTTTTAGTACTTAGCAGCTGAAAGTCCTACCTTTAATGCTCTCATAATTTTGCTCATTTTGAAGCTGGTCAGAGTTATATAAGTAAGTTTGCTGTAGTGAAAATAGGACAATGCTGAAATCTTTTGGGGGAAAAGAAACAAAGCTCTCAGAATTCAAGCCAATTTGGCTAGTTGTGGTTGGATGTAGGTATGGTGTCGTAACAGTATGCCATGGCTCTAGCGAGGAGGAGATCTTGAAACAGGGAGAGATGGCTTAAATATTTTAAGGCAAAGTGCCATATCAGCTGTCATTCCTCAGCTTCCCTTTCTTATGGCAACATTCCTTTGAAAAACAGAACACTACATTTGTGAAACAAACCCAATTCCTGCCTGAAACCTTCAGTTGCAGACTTGCCATGCCTTGTTAGTAGATCTTTTTTCCCCACAAAATATATAGCATCTGTTGCAAAAATATGAGCTTTATGTTTAAAGTCTCCATTGTGGGTTTGGCATGGGCAGTATAGCTCAGACACAGCTTTGCCATCCTTCTCTTATAAAACAGACCTTGACTATGTCAAGTGTGATTTAGAGGGCCGTGACATGCATCATCGTCCCTCCTCTCTGCTGGATTCTTGTTCCTTGTACCAGCTGAATTTTTGCATCTCATGACGCAACTTCAGGGAATGAAGTTTTTGATAGTCAAGCGGCACAGGGAAAAGGTGGAGGAGTTATGGCTCTGCTGCGCCACTTCTGTCTCATGTACACAGGGGGAAAATTCAGGGGAGAGGCTTTCTCTGCCATATTAATTTTGTGTGGGAAACCAGTACAGGAATGTAAGGATGTATGTTCCCTTTGAGGCCTGTAGAGGGAGAGGGACAGAAGACAAGCCACAACCTAAACTTTAAATTTTAAAAAATGCATAAACACTAAAAAAGGGTAGTTTAAAAATATGCATCCTAAGTAATTTGCGAGATGCAAACTTAATGTGAAATTTTAACCAATATTCATAAAATATTATTCTGCAATGTTTGTCCAACTCAACTATTCTGTTCACACTATGATGCCAGAGACTCATGATACTCCTGTACATCCAATGTTTTGCTATAAAACAGATTAAAAACTCTGCAGTTCTTCTGATAAGGGGAATATACTTTCCCACAAAGCTTCTAAAATACTCAGAGTAAGGATACAGCAGTTTTGCTAACAACGGTCACAACAGGAAATACCAGCAGGTAGCAGGTCTTTTATTTGTCCTGTGGCATGATATTGTGTGTTACAACTCTATGTGCTACACAAAAAATCACATCTCTTCTGTCAGACAGACAGCGTTGGCTATGCTACAGGATAAAATGCATATAAAATAGATGTGTTGCTCACTAACGTGGAATGTTTTAGCTTTTAATGAAAATAAGCTGTGCTTCTGAGCAAACAGCTCAAGTTGTATATGAAGCTTGAAAGCCAGACAAAATCTGCAGTTAGTAGAATCAGTGATATAAAACTAACTTAAACATTTATTTTTAATGTGTACTTTGCATTATTAATACTGGGCCTCACTGTGTGATGTAGCCGTTTAAAGTAATAGGATAACACCCAGATGCTTCTGCTTTTTTATTTTTTTAAAAACACATTGTCTTGGATAAGGAATGCAATTTACTATCACAGATTCCTTTGAAGCTGTGTTGTTATCCATTTATATTTACATGAATAGTAGTGGTGCAATACTATTATGCAATAGTACAATACTGAAGTTAATGTATACTGTGTAATTTGTTTAGTTTCTGTAGCATAATAACTATTTTTGAGGTTCCTTAGTCATGACAACATAGCATGTGAGAAGCCATTAGACCTCTGGATTTTCAATCAAAAAGATTTTTCTTTCAGAGAGTCTGTGTTTTGCTTAGAAAATGTCATGGTTTTTTCTAAATGTTGTGTCTTTGATAAAATTTCATGTGGAAAAACTCAAAGCTACTTAAAATCTGGTAGAAATACTGAAAGTTGGTTGAAATATGTAAAATTCAAAGTTACATTATGGTGCAATTATAAGCAGTGCATGTCCTCTTTTACTGAGCATTCTGCCTGAGAAACACTGAGAATTAGATTGATATTATCATATACCGTTTTACCTCCTGCTCTGAAATTAACTTTGTGTTTTATGGTTAGTATATTTAGCAGAACACTAAGCATCCAAGTTATTTTATAAGTCACTGAACTGTGTGTGTATATATGTATTTTTTTTAAAGAATAAGATAAGGGGGAGTTATTCTTTTCATTATCTGCTCTTAATGAGGAATGAAACCTGATTTTAAACAAGAGGGATTGTAGACTTGAGCCCTTTTTTGAATAGATGAGCATCACTGAAGTCAAAATGCTTTAGACAAGTGTAAAACAATCTGATTGTTATTTCCATTTTGGCATTAGCTAAGCTGCTAGAGACAATAAGAACAAGAGAACCTTCTATTTCTTTAACAAATGCTTTTCTTTATTCTTCCTTGGTCATACAGTCATTCCCAGCACAGCACTGCAACACGTCCACCCACAGTGAGCTTGCAGCGGACCATTTCTGTGGAAGGGTAAGATGATTCTCCTCTGTTGAAGCTGCCCGTAGAGCTCTCAGATACCACTAAGCCAGACACTGAACTACCCACATACACATAGCTGTTAACTAGATGTGGTTTTGCATCCCACAGTGTTTAAGTCTGTGAGATGGAGAAATAAATACTTTCAAATTAGTGCTGATCCTTTCTAGGTACTTATACTGGGTGGTTTGGTTTTCATGGAGATGAGAATATCTGTCATGGAGTTACATTAACTACAATTTCTTCAATTCATCTCGCTTGACTAGTCTTAATATTTACATGTGTTAGCTGTAAAATGGTTCCCACTAATCATGGAAATACCCAGTGAAGGCTTACTCTATTTTCTTAATGTATGCATGAGTTCTTTTTGACAAAGCGGTGTCCCGAACTAAGGGTGAAGAAGTACTGATAGAGGATAATAATCCTGTGCTGGTGTGTATCTGTGTATATTAATGTGTTAATTGTAGAAGCATAGCTCTGAGTACTTAGCTGACTCCATTTTAACAAAAATAATTGGGTAAAATATGAATAATTCACAACCACAGTTAATATTCTTGCATTTTACAGTATTAGAAAAGCTGATATTTAACACTGAAACACAGATTTTGGTTGCATTGACTGGCGTAGTTTACAAAAAAATATTAGATTTGTTTCTCCCCTCCCATAGAAATGTGGAACTGTTTGAAATATTTTGTAGGCATGGGTAATAACTTGTCATTGCCTGCTCTCAGGTCCTATTTCAAATCTTTTCTTTCTTGTGATAAAAGTGAGAATCCAAAGTTTCCACAGAGGAAAGATGTCATCTTGTTGTATTTTGGTTTATGTTACAACCTTACTGTGGTGCAGTCAGAAAATAAAATGGTAGATACGTGAAATAGTCCACTCCTAAGTGAAGCCTGAAATGTTTTCCTCAGAAGTCTTAATTTTTTCTTTCGTACCTAGATGTAAGATTGTAAGTTTTTATTTAAAATGTGTAGGACAGCTGTAGTAATTATTCATCAAAAACAAGACTGAATAATGAAATTGCTACAGGAAAAGTGCCTGTGGCTTAAGGGCTGTTATCTGGAAGGTAATTTTATAAAAGAAGCCCTCATCATCCAACCTTCTTGCTCAAAACAGAGCTAATTTCAAGTTAGATCAGGTTGCTCAGGGTCTCATCCAGTGGAGCTGTGACTATCACCAAATGTGGAGATAGTTCTCGGCAACCTGGCTCAGTGCTTAAACATCCTCATTTTGGATTTCTTTTCTTTATCTCTCTCTCTAGTGAACAGAGAGTCATAATAAATTCTGCTGTCTTTTCCTCAAATCATGAACTCATGAATAAATTGATGCTTGAAATAAAACTGAGCTTCAAGAACAAGTTTATTAGTTAAAATGGTGATTGGATAAAAAAAGAAAAAGGGAAAAAGAAAAACAGGATTTGCTAAATTGAGATTTAAGAAAAGAAATTCTATTATGATGTCTCTGACTTGGTCTACTGGACTCCATAATTCAGGAGGTATCCTGTAGGTTTAAAATCCTACTGAAATTTGGAAATCAATCTGTCTATGTGAATTTTTAGATAAATTGCAGAATCTGTACTGGCCACGCAGACAACTTGCATGTATTGTGTATGAATCATTGGAGCGCAGGAAATCTGCAATTGATGTTACAGGTTTCCTGCTGTTCAGGAGGTAGAAGAATATCTGGCTTGTAATTATTACTAATCAACTTACACTGAGTCATATTTCATTTCACATAGGAAAGTGGGACTGTTAGCCTATTACACCGCTGAGCAAAACTAAGTAATCAGCTCAGCCCTAAATATTTCATTATGTTAAAGCTCAATTTATTCTAATGTTTTTGTGAAGTCCATGCTGCTAAGTATGTTTATAGCTAATACAATTTGAGGTCAAAACAAAGTTACTTTCCTCTTTTAGGAACTGGGTTGCCATCAGTAGAGTCCTGTATTTAGATGAGTCATTATATTGCCTTTGAGATGCACTTTGTAAATAGCTGCTTTACCTGCAAGGCATCCCTAGCACACACTTAGATTTGTGACCTGCATACTGGCTCTGTGTGACTGACTGTGTAGTCACTGAAGTAATATAATTATTGGGTCCTGTAAAGGAGAAATGAAATATGGGAGGGTTAAAGAAATACAGGGGGAATTGCATTCGCTGGCATTTATTCTTTTCCACCCTGTTGAATATGTGATAATTGAGCTGGCTAGAATAGATTTTTAAAAAACTTCAATAGTTTTTTCGTCTAGGTAATGGATTCATACATAAAAACAATTTTTTTTTTTCAGGGAGGGCTTTTGTGGACTTAATGTACAGCAAAAATATGAGTAGCAAGGTGAAAAAAATAAAGATGTCTTTAAAGATTAAATTTTCTTTATATTCAAGCCATATATTCTTCAGAGTAATAACTGTACATGAGGTGATTTATGTACATGAGGAGATTTATTATGTGTATAAAAGCATGAACTTCACAGGTGTTTGATGTCATTGTTAGTGCGATCTAATTAGTAACTTCCCTAATGGTTTATTTGCATGATTTAAAAACAAGAAAACTACAACATTTGAATTTGTTGGCTTGAGTTTTTTGAAACAGTTTTAATGAACAATTTTAATTGTGAGTATTCAAAATAGGAAAAATATTGGATGAAAACTAAAACCTGTTATTTGGAAATCCTGCTGTACTATTGCATGAAGTTATAAAGTCAGTGGTGTGTGATAGCTATTCTCTCTGCAGTTGACATTCAGACTAAATTGTATTTTATATGCTACCAGTCATCTCTTCTGCTGAGCTGCTTAGAAACTGTTCAACTTACTTGATCAAGAGTGTTTTGATGGAAATTTTAAACAAATTTATCAACGTGATTGAGTATCTCATATATATATATAAATATTTATATGCAAATAAACAGCATTTGAACCATGACTAAGGGTAAGAATTTTTATTCTGAACAGGACAGATATTACAGACCGCTTTGTGTTTCAAAAGAGTCTTATATAAAGTAATTTTGGATGCTTGCTACTAACGGACTGTGTGTATTGATATTTCGAAACATGGCTTAGAGGCACTGCTATTTTTAGGTATTCTCTTAGCCTTTGAATACTTCCTGTCTCCTGACAGGGCACTGAGGTTGCCTAAAGCTGAAGCATTCATGGTAAATAGAGCCATCGAATGCTGTAAGTAATAGTTTATAGAAAAGTGGTTTCAATATGGAACCAATAGTTTTTAAAAGCAGGATACAAAGCAACCTTTCTAGTATGGAGTCGTCTGTGCTGGGTATAGCAGGTGGAAGAGAGATGCAGTTTTCAGGATTTATTTTGATTATTAGCACGTAAATAATGCACCTCCTGGATCAGGGAAGAGAGACAGGTGCTTATGTGAGACAAAGTATAAATGAATAAGTGAACTGGAATAATCATCTCCCTTTCAAAGATAAAGAGCATATTATCTGTTCTACATTGTCGCTCTAGAAATCAATGAGCTTCCTCAAATCTAGGAGACATACTCCTGCGCATTTAAAGTAAATACCAGGTGTCAACGTAAAAATATAGACTCATATTTTCAAATATGAGATTATTCCTGTATGCCAATTCGATGTTGCTATCTGTAAGCAGAAAACATTGCCTGGTGTGCAGGCTTTAATTTCTCTACAAAAGACAAAATGGAAGCCTGTTAAAGTCCAGAGGGGTTCCCACAAAACAAATAAGGTTGCACATGTATAAGCCAGTGCACTCATGCATGCATCAGTCAGGTTGAAGCCTGGCTCCCTGTAGGTTCCCTCATAGTGAATATACTTCAAAGTTTGTGACAAGTTAGACATGATGTTTGCAGAATAAATGCATGAAAAATGTAGTCAGTATTAAAGTTAGGATAAAGTATTGCTTCTACAGTTAATGCCAACATTCAATCAACAAGAAATGCCAAGGAAACCATAGTCAAATGAACAGATAAAATACTTTATGGCTAACTGTAGTAAGCAAAATAATATTTTGCTATGTGACACGATAAAGGAACGTCTCATTAAAGGCCGAGTTCTTAGTTGTTAGTATATCAACATTTCATAAAATGAAATAATAAGTCACGATTCAGTACAGGTAATGAAAATGAACGCTCTGCACATGACCAAAATGCTGTTTCAGTTTAAGAAGGCAAAGTTACCCCTCTGGACTGGGATGCTCAATGTGACAGTAATAGATAAGAGGACAATTTCCTTATTTTTGTTATTGTCAATCGTAACTGAAACTTGATAATAATAATTAAAGTCGCAAATCGGGGATCAGACCTCGCTGGGTCAGATGCAACGCTGATGGGTAACACTGATGTGTTCAGCCTCTCCTAGGCTCCGGGATGGTGAAGGACTTGGGACTGGAGACAGGAAAGTCTGCCAGCTCCCTACCGCTGCCAGGTCGTGGTGGTTTGGAAACCTCACAGCAAAGGTAGATCAGAGGGAGGGCTGGGGAGGAAGGCGAGGGGTAGTGCTGTTTCACATCGTGATGGAAGGATTTTGCCAAGCCTGAGGGGAATAACAAGGGGAAAAGGAAAAGCCAAGATGCCACAGAAGTGTTACTGTAGTAAAACAATAGGTGAGAGCAGTACAGATACATTTTTCCTCTAAATTGTTGTGAAGCAGAGCTGCAGAAGGTATAAAGGAAAATTTAAATAAGCCGAGTAAGTTTGGGTTTGCCTGAACTTCAAAGTCTTTTAAAAAGGTGTGTGTGCATATTCCAGGCCTTCAGCTGCTTAAGCTTTCAAATTCTCTCTTGTGTGATTAATCAGTTTTAAAACATCATACACTCTGGCACATTCTCTGTCCATCCGAGCTTTCTGTGTTAAATGCTGTGAAGAATGCTCAATCTATTTGGATTACCTTTTTTAGGTCCTTCCAGTATGAATGCCCTTTGGCTGTCTGAAATAAACATGCAATTATTTATCAGAATTTTTTGAAGCATGAGAGGAAAACTAGAAGTATTGTACTGAAAAATAGCTTGATTAGC